GTTAATGACTATTTTTGTAACACGAAAAACTGAACTTTGTTACTTTGCCCAAAAGCTTCCAGAAAATCATAGAGAAATCCAGAATGATATTAACCATCCAACTCCTTGAAACTCCCTGGAATAATAAACACATACCCCAGGCAATCTACAAAATCATTAAAAAAAATCTTGTGTTTATCAAACTTCCTTTTGCAAAATTCATCAAATTTTCAGCCAAGTTATACTATTTTCCATCCCTATGCCTATAAATAATCCTTGTTTGCAAGGTTTTCCTGCTTGTATCTAGTAATGAACCTCTAAAAGTTATTTTCTTTCCTACCTCAAAAGGCATTTTATGTGAATGCAAGTTGTTATGACTGATTAAAATCTGATTAAAATTATAGATACCAGTTTGTGGCAGTGAATTCCACAAGGTTTCTTTTGTCATCAAAGTGCAGGATAATTTTTGTCTACTAAAGTGATACCATCAATCCAGCCACCAAGGTTTAAATAAGATAATTGAATGTAATCAATCAGCCAAACTTTTGACTGTTCTAACCATTCTTGTTTTACATCAGAATGTAAACGATCTGTTGTGGTTCTTGTTTTACATCAGATCCTTAATGATGGAAGTGATTCATAATATTGGGTTTGTGCTTTAACTAAAAATTTTTTTGGTTTGCTCAAAAAGTGGCATTTAAAGCAACAATACTGAGTAGCAACTGTAACAAGCCTGACTATCATTAATGCACAGTTACTTTGGCTCAGGCGAGTTTGGGACCTCTAATCACCAGTGTCTACACCTGAGTGAGTGAGTGACTCATTTGTATATTGAAGTCACCACTAACACTTGTTTGCCTAGCATACCACAAGTTAAATAGGCCTCATGGTAAATAAACATATTAAATAACTTTTTTTTGTTTAAAACAGTAGACTGTACAACAATTGAATACAAAACAGACCCACAAAATATAAACACAATTTCAAAACTTAATTTGTTTACTTTTCCTGAAGTTAAGTACTTTCTCTTTCAACCAAACATCCACCAAAGTATATGATAAAAATTCAATGCCAAAGTTATGACATCTAAATATACTTTGAATGTACAGGGTAACATGAGAAAAATTTGCCCAGCCCCTTGGGGGAAAAAAGACAAAGTAACTATCCGACATAGTCTATTTATAACATATGCCAAAGTTGGCTTTTCAGTGTCACACGACATTTTCATTCCAGCAGACACTGTTATCCTGCTGCTATAATCATGGAATTTCAAGGCAGGTTCAATATTGAACTCAATTTTTGGAACTGTAAATTCTGCTCTTAAATCAAGCTACGTGTAGTTTCCTTTAAGAGGACCACATCAAGTACATTCAAAGATGACCTTCCAGTAAATTGCTTAGCCCCAAGCCCATTTGAGTAGGACAGCATTTAGCAAGACTAATACTGAAAAACAGGAAATGGGTCCCTCAACAAAGTGATCATAGCACTATTTTAATATAATTAAATTTAGAAGAAACTCTTACCTTCATTATGCCATCAGCTTTCACTTCCAACCAATAATGATTCACATCCAGTTGGATTTTTGACTTGATATCACATCAATTATATGGACAGTCCATTCATTTTGCTCCTTGCCCTTTGTGCACTAAAGTTTCCATTGCATTTCCAAAGTCATGTTGTCTTTTATATTTGAACTCCATAACATACAATGACCTTCACATCATAAAATGTTTCCTGCACCAGAAATCCACTCTGCTACCCTTTCTTGGATAAATTACTCTGATGACAGCCACAACTTCCAAAATACACAGCTGCAGTTCTGGACATGACCAACATTGGATACAATTGAAGGATGTTTGCTTGGAATTAACACATATGTAGTTTTTATTCCAAGGCTTTCTAATCATCCTTCTAGGACAAATTTTAAAGGTACATGTTCCTTGACTCAGGCATTGTTAAAAATAGATATACATCACTTGACAGTAACTTTTAGGTCACTCACTTTCAAACTAAACCTTGGAAAACTAACTCTCACAGAGCTTTCAATAAAAGCTGGTTACCAGCAGTCAACCACTTCCAGTAAAACCTCTTACTCCTGTCTGTTTGGCCTGCGAGCAGGCTCCCATGTTTGGACTCTGCCTTACAGCCCTTTTCTGGTCATAGCTGTATATCAAAACTATCGGTAAGCACTTACAGATAAGGTTATTAAAACCCCCACTATCACCCATCAAAGAATTATGACCAAAAGTAGCTCTTGAACAAAGGGTTCATGTTATCACCTTAAACTGGAGCATTTCTGTCAACTTTATGATATGAAATTCAACTGCCAAGGATTTCGAGGGGCTGACAATGTGTCAAACCTGAAAAAATTTACTCAGAGATATATATACTTTTACATGTGCCCTGCTTGCCTTCTGTTAATGCAGACCATTGACCAATGGGAGAAGCACCACTTCAGTCCAATGTTGCCAGGGTAACACCAGACCCATCAGAGCTGGTTTAGAGCAACACAGAGGGTTGGTGCGTTGGGTGGTGAGAAGGTAGCAGGCTGCTGGAGTTAGCAATGACAGCACAGAGAAAAAGAGAAAAAAGTCAAGTCAGTTAAAATTCTACTGTCTATTGATGGAATGGAAAGTCTCTTAACCAAACTTCATATTTAATAGCGACACAATGATTACTCCAAACAGGGACTTGACATTGGTAAAATGACAGTAAGTTTGACTCTTTGACATGAAATATTTTCTGACAATTTCCCTTTTGCAAGTATATGAAAGATTATCTGTACTTGCTTGACTTTCATCTAGTTGTTTTTATTGCTTGTATGTTTACAAAGAAAGCTAGTTTCAATTTAAGGTAAACCTGTTAATTTTGAGAATAAAATGATGATAATGATGATGAGAACAATAATAACACATTCATGCTTACAGTCATGATAAAACAAATCAAAAGCCTCGGCCTATCTTGGCAAAGATAGAGAAATGTATCTCATCTTTCTTTGGTAAAGGGCAAAATTACTTGATTCTTATAAGTTTATAAGTGATTAGATTATTGAGCAATTCAAGTTTCATCACCCTTAGAATTATTAAGTTTTCAGAGGTGGAATGATAACCAAAACTTAAAAAAAATATGCATGAAAGTAATCTTTAATTGTACTAAGGCTTAGGCAAATATTTGTAACAACTCAATATGCTTTCTCTGCACTGCAATCAATCTGATTTTGAGTTGTGCCATGGCTGAACTGCAAATGGAACTTCTAACAACTGATTTTGAGGTAAAATGACAGGACTTCCGGAGAAATTGAGAGCTTCGTATTTTTCTGTTTTTATCAAAAGTGGCTTTTCTAAAAGCAATAAAACCCTGTGAGATGGAGCTGCTTTTAAAAAGTAGAAGATTACAAAACCACCATGATAAAAAATTGCCTTCCAGAAAGTTTGAAGTCCTCAAAAATGGAGTGATTCTCTTCAAAAACAACCCCAGTAATTATTACAAATGAGCTTTACTGAAATTCCGCAGTAAAAAGAAGAAAAGAGAGGAGTAATACAAAACAAATGTACAGTACTGCAGCATTTACATGGAGAAATAATCCAATTTTTCAAATTATCCAAATCTTTTACAACAAGAGGTAAATGTCTGGCTTTTAAGCATGTCAAGGTCATGCTGAGAAGTCAAAATTCCTAGGAAGACCCGCTTCAAGAAAGACTTCTAGTCTAATTAACAAGTTGGACAAACTTTAGATCTTTTGAGTAAAAACTCTTCACTTTTGATATTTGTTTCAGTCCTTTTCCTTTTTTTACGGGGGAAAATGTTAATTAAATTTTTTTGGTGAAAACCGGAAACAAGAGAAATTCAGATTTTCGAAAACACTGCTAAACCATAAATGTTCATGAAGTCTAACCAAATTAGAAAAAAATGATCAGTAACTATTTAGTATTGGTGGTGGCATGAACCGTCTCCCTTGGCTTTTCCCTTGCCCCAAACAAATGCACAAATATTTACCTGGCATTCCTTCTCTGTTTTATGTGATGAAACACGTTAATCACGTCCCGAATTCTTCTCGGGCATTCTTCGATTTTTGCTGCGAGAAAAATACTTGCCATGGAGTATATCTGCAATTCAAGTTTATGAAAGCGATAGGTTCGGCATGAATTTTTCGTTCGGTAAATCGCTGAATTTAATTAAAGACGTATAAGCTTCGTACTGAAACTTCTTTTTCGCTGACCTTTTGCATGAATTTAGGTCAGATTGAGATGTAAAGTAAAATCTGGTCATGGACACTTCACAAAGCACATGCATGCAACTGCAGAAAGAGATCTAGTTTGAACCGTTTGGAATTTCCCTTAGCTTAATACAAAGTTCGAGAGGTAAAAAGGATGGAATGAATTGCAACTCTGTACCAGAGAAAAGACAAATTTACCACGGAGTCTTGGTGAAAATACTCAAAGAATTAAAATTTAAGTAAAGAAAAACTGTATACAATCTAGGAACAACAATCGTCCAATTGCTTGCACGTTAAAAGTATTGTAACTTACCTCGCAGTCGTGTTTTACGAGCGACTTACTGTAGTAAAACCGTTGAAATAATACTTGAGCTGTAGCCATAGCTACCTGAAGGTTCCAAAGCAAAGAATCTCAGCTCACAACATCAAGGTAAATCCAAGTTTTCAAAACCAAACCGGACCTGCACTCACCTGAGGTAACTTCAGCAAGATGCCCGCCATTTGGATATACTCGCAACCTAAGATTCGTAAATCGATTTCTACTTCTCTATCTAAGCCATCTTTAAATGAAGGTGTGTTCTGAAGTTGTTCTTCGTCAAGAATGCAGTTTTCTAGCGAAATAACTACGTCTCCGTAGTCCGATTTACCGGCGACAGCGGCCATGTTCGATGGTCTTCTTCAATCGTTTTAGAGACGTCACATTCTACTTGTGATGTCACCGGTTGGAAGCACGTGCACGGATATTCCCTAATATGGGATGATTCCGATGCAAAGAAGTCGTTTTCTCTTCGGAAATCGTCGGAAATCGTCGGAAATCACGCAAAAGCGGGAAATATGGCTGTCGAAATGGAAGAAAAACACGATGAAGACGATAAAGTTGATATTTTGACAAGGATCACAGATTCTATCGACAACCATTTGAGAGGTTTTAGGGTGAGAAAAGAAAGGGTGTTTTAATAAGGTTATAACGTTCTTTCTTTTCACTTGACTTTATAGATGGTGTTTAAGGTTATAACGTTCTTTCTTTTCCTGGATCACTTGACTTTATAGATGCACGATAAAACGATATTAAAAAGATCTAAGCTATGCAAGACCTATTTATCTCACTATTTTAGCAATTTTATGATAACTCCAGTGAAACAGACTAATGAAGTCCCAGCGGTGTTAGTGCATCAATTAACCCATGGAAACATAAGAGCAACTTTACAAATGATCATCTTCAGTTAAATAATTGTTAACTTGATTAGTGTGGGTTGTGTTATTTATTGTCAGTAATTTACAATATTTAAATTACATTTAATGAAAACTAAAATATGGTTGTCATTAGAACCAGGTAGGAGACAAAATCCCCTTAACTGTCAGATTATTTGTGAATTGTGATCAAAGACAGAAAATAAGTACAGTGGAACCACATTTTCACGAAGTGCCAAGGAACGGCCACTGCCAAGTTGCCAAGCCTTTGATTTGGAGTGAGGCTGAAGGTGACCTTGTTGTGATAGAGACTAGTATCTAGTTAGCATGATAACAAAGTAATTTGCACTTGAAAAGCAACAAGGTTTGGAGTAACTGCAGAATACCCAGCCACTCATTTACATGTCATTGAATAAGAATAGCATCTATTGTGTTATGCCTCGATCTTCAAAGCCTCCCGACACATGTAAGTGAGGCGAACCAAAGTGGCTGCGTATTCTGCAGTTTAGCCCAAGGTTTGCATCATAACAAGGTAAACCTTAGCCTCCCTCCTGTTCAAAGGCTTTCCAACCAAGCACACAACTGTAAAATGGAGTATTAGGGAAACTGGTTTGTTATGATATACAAATAAACATAAACATATGTCTTGGAATGCTTGAGTCATGTCTCAGGGAGTATCAAATTTCAAATTTTTTTGAGGGAAGATGTCTCCATATTCCACTCCTTCCCCCAAAGGAGGGAATGTTGCTTTGCAACATGCTATGCTTGAAATGCAGGCATAATTTAATTCAGCAGCTTATCAGTTCAGATCATACATCTACTACATTCTCAAATGACAACCCTGCCTCAGGGACTCTTAATCAGTTAATTAATGTAACACGTGGAATTGCTCTAAGGTACTTTTCTATATTCTTCTGAAGTCACCCTTAAAGGAATGTTACAGAATGTTTTAAAAAACATGCAGGTGTCAGGAGTGTAGCCAGCTTTTTGGACTTGTTGTAGGCCTGTTCCATAAGAAAGTTCAATTTTAGTTTCAACATCTGCAAGAGTCATGTTCTAAAAGTCAAGCGGGCAAAAAAATTGTAAGTTTGAGGCTGGCTATGCCTTCAGTTGTAAATGCATTCAAAGAGGTCTAGTAACAATATACGTATATTAATTGTACACAAATAGTATTCAACATTTTGTGAAATTAACATTCCTTGGTGATTTACTCTTTGTTTTCAAAATTACAATTACCTGTTTAGGGAGGATCTCTGCAGTTGGCAGTTTTAGCCTGATCTAGCCTGTTCTCAATTTTTTTTTCACTAGGAAAGTGACATTATTAGTATATAATAATTATAGATATGCTTTCCACAGAATGTTTCCTGGGTTCTGGCTGGAGCTGGAATTATACTGATTGCAAGGAGAACATATGTGGTAAGTGTTCTGATATAATTATTAGGCAGGGATCGGAAAATCTTTGTGAGAGCCAATGGATAATACTATTGTTGAAACTACACAGTGTTTATCAAAGAACTTAACCCTTCACACCCTAACACCAGAATGCATATTCTCCCTACTGTTCTCTATACATTTCCTTAGGTGCTGAGAAGGAGAATTTGTTTAACAATCAAGAGCTCCTTTGGTTGATGATCATTTTCTTTATTCTTGTGACCTGAATGTGTGATTCAGGGGTGATAATGTAAGGAGAAATTGAGTGCTGGTCTCTCTTAGGGGTCAAAAGGTTAACATAAATACCCCACACAGTAAAAGTTACAGAAAACCCTGATGTTGTTTTTTTCTTTCTTCAAATCCAAATAAAATGCCAACTTCAAATTACTTTTCGGTGGAGAAAGACTTTCATCATACAGGTGCCTAAAAAGCTTAAGTGTATTCTCTTGTGATGCAAGACCCAAAAATTCATGCACCATTAAGTGCTGGTGTCCTTGCTCTTTCCTAACCCTTAAACCCCTAAGAGTGATTAGAAACTATTTTCCCCTATCAGTATCCCCCCCTAAAACAAACGTTGAGGTCATGAAAATAAAGGAAATGATCACCAACTAAAGAGGCTTTTGATTGTTCAACAAATTCTCCTTGTCGGCACCTTAGGAAATGTATTGAGAACAGTATGAAGAAAATGTTTACTGATGTTTGGGTGTAAAGGGTTGAGTGGTTGCCTTGCTCAGACAAGGGCTTGAACTATAACCAGACTGAATGAAACATTGTTGCTTAGTTTAGGCATTTTAAAGTTGTCTCTGACATCCCAAAAGAATTTGTTGCCAAGAACATCACCTTTCGTGGCCATGTATGCGAGGTTAGGCCAGACAACACTCTTGGTATTTATCATATTCCTTTGCTCAGGAGACTCAAATATTCATCTGATACAGGTTGGTTCTCAATTTACTACAGGAATAAATTTTTTTCCCTTATGAGTGAAGGTCATTTTTTGTCAGAGAAACATCCACATGATGCCCATCCTAGTTTGTCTCATCATTCAGAAGATTTTTTTAGGAGTAAGGCTGCCTCAGCTTGTAAGTTTCTAAAGAAACTGTGGTGCTGCATCAGTGTGAGAGTATAGCAGGGTAATTTGGGATTATCAACTGAGTTGATACCTTAAATTGGCCACTGTAAAGAGTTACAAAGCTGATGTTTTGAGCCTAGCCATTCGTCATTCACTCTAATGAAGAAACATCAGCTTTGTGACTCTTTCTAAATTTCAGGTTATAGGCTGGACTGTAATAAGTCTCATTCAAGTAAAGAAATGATCATTACAGATTGGCTGCAATCAAAGGAATTTCAGAAATAAAAGCAGAAAATAACCATGGACATGATCGTACTCCCAACATATGGCTAAGTTACGAACACTACCCAATTAATATCCAGGAGGCACCAGTTCCAATCCCAACCTTCTAATTACAGAAAGTCTAATTTTTGAATAATGGAGAGGATATCCAGATGTCTTTTCGGCCCAAAAAGAACTTAGAGACTTAACACATTTTATGTACTTTTTCATTAGAGGCCTCAAAACAATCCAGTCTTCTAGCCATCAGTCTTATAGGTGTGGAATTCAGGGAAGGTGGGCACCAATGGCTTTCAGGCCATCTGATGTCAGCTGATGTTAAGATTACTCCTTTCCAAGTCACCAAAAAGCATACATTGGACTGCATGGTGTACAAGAAAAAGGTAGATATGTTACCTGCTCCTAGTGTGGTCACAAAATTAGTTATTACACCATGGTGCATTTTATGTTAGTGTGCTAACTTATGCTGTTGTAGTTGTGTGACTTTAGTGTGACTACTTTCCTCCCAGGCAACTTGTATACAGGGTTTTTCATAGCAAGTAAATTGTTTTGCAGTTGTGTTAAGATGGCAACTGGTAATTACAGGTAGCCATAACCCTTGAGAAAGGCTCTTAATTATCTCTCAGTGGCTGTCATACCTGTTAAAGTTCTCTCTTAAAGATAACTTAGGATAGCTAAGATGAACCAACAAATTTTAATAGACAGGACAATCATTCATTTACTTGCAGCCATGATGGATCTGTCTACTCAATCCCATTGTTCTTTGTGGTACATCTAAACTCACGAATATTCACTATATAAACACGACAAAACATTACAATGTCTTGAAATGTCTTTTTTTAATTTTAAAGTAAGTTGAATTTCAGATAAACAAGCCAATAGTCAGAACATGTATGACCCTGAATATATGGAAATCCAATACATTTTCTGCAGTTTTATAAATGAATATGAAAGTGATCTTTGCAGTAATGAATAGTACTTAAGCAGTGGTGAAAATTAGGCCTGCTTAAGCAGAGTTCATTTCTGGGAAGATTGTCTTTATATTCATTTCTTAAATGACAGTTCACATAAATGATTTTCACATTCACAGTCACTGATTTATCACTTCACAGGTTTATTACAAACCAAAATACTAACCAGCTCCTGGTTTGCTTGTTAGCTCAATTGGTACAGCACTGCACTGGTATCGCAGAGGTTCTGGGTTCAAATCCCATACTGGCCTGAATTATTTATCAGGCCTTTTTTTCACAACTGCTTAACCCTTTGGCCCCTAAGAGTGACTGGCATCTAATTTCTCCTTATTATATCATCCCTCATTCAAACATGAAGATCATGAGTGAGAATAGGAGATGATCACTAACTAAAGTAGCTCTTGATTGTGAAAAAAATTCTCCTTGTCAGCCTCTTTGGAAATGTATGGGTAACAGTATGGAGAATATGCATACTGATGTCAGGCTGGTAATAAGTAGTGTTCATCGTGGTGAAATTGCTTTCATATTCAGTCTGAACATGTTTTGAAAAAAATAATAATTTGACAAGAAAGGAGCCTGAGAAGGGGAATTCCCTTGGTAAAAATCAGGTTTTATTTAAACTATTTAATGATGAGAGTTTTTGCCATCAAGGTGTCTAATTTGGTTTGCACATGAAGAAGCAAAGAAGCTGTTACACTGTTTTTGTTTGCATTTAGGCTGGGTAGATAAGATGCTTTTTTCCTTATAGGTTCAAGCCATTTTACTTTCACAGGCATTTTAAAAATCTAAAGGCATAATTATGCAATGTCAGTTAATTGTGTTGATGCCTGTTTTCAGAACTGGTTTTCAACTATATGTGTTAACCAAGAATTGCTGCATCAAGGTGTAGCAGTCACATGTCATGTTCCCACACTTGTCAACAGTCCAGTTTATCAAAAACTTCAAAGACAACTCCTGAAGGCAGAAATATCTGCTGAAAAGAAAGGTGTTGGCATTTGGAAGAGGCCATCAAGAATAAAAGCCTTTTGGGAAAAAATTTCCTCTCCAATCTCCTGGATAAAGAGGGGACTCAGTGCTTTTCAATATGTTAGAAGTCTCTTTTCAAGGAAAGCAACAAACCATGAAGAGAAGTAATTTTTAAAAAGTAACTTAACAAAGTGAACTGGGATATTTTGATGGCACAAGAATCTTTGACCAAGATTTGTTTGTCACATCAACCTGGATGCTTATGTTTGTCCTAAAAAATTGAGGTAGAGAACAAACTAACTCTTCTCCAGCATTGCACCGCTTCCCTAAAGAGAAGCTTTGCTCATAGTGGAGTTCAGTTTTGGAACAACCCACCCTAGAGTCAGTCTTAACATGATGTTAAAGCAAATTAACAATTGGTTCATACGTCAGTGTGTGTTATCGAGATATGAAGCACGAGGGGAGGTTTGGAGAGCATGAAAGATGCGTAAGAGTTGCTCAAGGTGTAGCCGAGAGTAACTCTAGCTTCTTGAGTGCTCTAAACTTCCCAAGTGCTTCATATCTCGATGACCCCACAGCTGATGCATGAACCAATTGTTTTATAGCATTTTCAACCTGATGGAAAATTTTTTTCTCGAGGGATATGTTTGCTGACGTCATGAGTGTGCACAATAGGAATATGAAGCATGCTCAAGCAATTGAATTTGATTAGACAAATTTACTAGCTATGTTATAAATTGAGTTGACAGTATGAGACAGTATGTTATTTAAATGCTGCCTCTAAGAAAAGAAGCATCTGTTGTTTTAATTTTTTTTCCTGTGGTGATTGTATTTAAGTGGGTAAGTGGTTGATCAATAAGAATTTGATGGGGTTCATAGAAATACCATGAATGAATAGTAAAAGTCATCTTATTTTATGTATCTTATACATGTTCTACCTATGTCACCCTCATTGTGTGTGGCTCACTAAATGAACCTAGCTATCTCTATCCCACATTACCAAGAACTTGTAAACCCTTTGCCTCCCATGGGTGACCAAGACAGAGTTTCTCCTTACAATATCAGTACAATGTAAATCAGACAGGTGAAGAGAATAAAGAAAAATATAGGTTTGAGGATTTTCTGGTTGATCCAGAATCAAATCTCAGAACTAGCATGATGAGAATTTTATGGCAGACTGTAAGGAGTATTACTAATGAGATCTTGAGCTTTAGAGGAACTTATTTTTTCAAACCATCCCCTGTGATTCTAATGACCAAAAGAAAAATCAAAGTTACCAACATTTAATGAGGATTCAGAGAGTCATTTTTGTTTATTTCAAATAAACTTCACACATCATCTGTATTTCTCTAAGTCTATAAATTAGTCACTAAAATTATCAATATCATCATTTTTCACCTCTTCAACAAGCTTCTATGATATTTCATTTAATGAGGTAAATACTGATTACTACTTAATAAACATGAAGTTTCAAACAGAAATTATTCCAAACGAAAGGGGCTGGGGTGCAGACTTTAAAAAATATTTCAAAATAGGCTTGAACAATTTTTGAGAAACTATGTTGATTTTGTGACATTTGCAATTTATCAAAGTTGAAACAAACCTTTACCAGTAATCAAAAATATATAAAGGGAATTTACATCAAGTTGATAGTCAATTTAAATAGTACTTACTAGTGTATTCTTTAACCTTTAACTCTCATGAGTGACAAAGCCAGAATTCTTATGATATCGATGCAATATCAAGCAGTAATGAGCAAAAAGAAAAATACCAATTGGGGGAATTATTACTTGAGCCAATACCAAATTCTCCAAACTAATATCATGAGAATTTTACAGCATACAGCAAGGAGAAGTACTAATGAGATCTGGGAATGAAACGGTTAAGAGGCATGGATTTACCAAAGAATTGTAAGAAACCATGTAACTACTAAGTGATAAGTTGATCTGTCAACTACCTCATGTAATGAGCTTCTCTTGGTGTATGTGGTCTTGAAAAAAATTTAAAAAATCTTACAATAGTACCATTTTTGAACCACTTCATCCTTTTGAAAATGTTCAGTCTGGGGACCCATTTCTCAAAAGTCCCAGTAACTTAATGGACCAGAAGCCTTATTTTATAATCAAGATTTGAAGAATAAATAAGTAGGTTCTGGTACCCTAACCAGTCCATTTTTTTTCTTTAGGTGATGGTTTCAAAGTATAATTTTCAAAACTTTTAAAACCCCTACCTTGAGTGAAAACAGAAGAACTTTACAGGCCTGTTTAGTTACCAGGACCCTTTCTTTTTTTAAATTACTAAATGGGTCTTAGGACGACATTTAATTTTGACCTATTGGCTTGTTAACTTAAGAAAGACATCTATATTGTACATGTTAGGCAGGTAAATTAAAGCTAAAAAATTTCCCCAATTTTATTATTCACTAGTTGTTTCTGCAAGGATAACTTTTTTTCTTACAATTTCCTTAACCTAACCCGGCAGTTATATTGCTTTGTTACATTTATTATTTTGATGAAAATTGTGTGCTAAGGATCTGTTCTCACCAAACCTTATAAACAAATTTGGACTCAAAAACAGAATTTTGTTTCCTTTTTTAAAGTGGCGTTGGCAGGTGGATCTTACCTTCCTTGATTCTAACATGTTACAACACAGAAGATAATTGAATGTCACAAGTCAACAAACAAGTTCAAATTTCACTGTTTTTTATGCAAAATATGACTGGCGGGATAAGAACTTTTTTTGAATGTAAAATTCAGTCCTACCCTCTGATTGCTTGTCATTATTCCATTGGCCTGAGGTATATTAAAAGCACTGTAAAGGGTCTTGGTAACGAATTCTGAAAATCACTCACGCCATCTAAATAGAGAAGCCTACCAGGGCCTCATGAAACAGCACCTCAAGACCCTGATTCAAATAAGACACACTGAATCAATTGCCAGGATTTCTCAGCATGTTCTACACTGAGCCTCTTGTTTAGACTTCCTCATGTTCTATGTCTTCTCTGTCCTTTTCCTTGACTTTTTTCTGATGACTTTTGGCTCTTTGGTATAAGAAGACTCCACATGTCACCATAATAGTTCCTATGGCACTAAGGGTTGTGACCTCATTACCAAACACTAAGACAGACAACCAGATCAACAAGGCTCTCTTTGCTGTGTTGGAGACACTAAAAAGAAACAGACAGTATTTTTATGAGAAATACATCTATCTCAAGTAACAGATCTGACTGGGCTAATGCTTGAAAAGTCAGCTTTAGAAACTCTCTATGGTGGCCAATTTACACCATCAACTTAGTTGATAAATCCAAAGTATCTCTTAAAGTGGGCTTGACTTTTAAAGCATAAGATTTTTTGTTGGTCACAAAAAAAAAAAAAAACGAAACAAAAAAAAACAGCTAAATGATATGTGCTATTTCCATTTTTTGTGTGTGCGCCACGTGTGCCTTTTCCAAGCTTTACCATGCTCAGATGGGGTCATAGGATGTAATTCTCGATGATAGTGAAAATAGAATGATTTTCTCATCAAGAACAAAATTACTCACCTAAATGTAACAGGAGAAATCAAAGACATCAGTCCAAATGCTGTAAGACTTTGCATGTAGAACATAAATCCATTCAACAGCAACATAAAAATCAAATGTCTATCCTCTGTCAACTTCATTTTCCCAGGCCACTCCTACAAGACATGAAAGATCAAAACAAAATTAGTTCATGCATTCAACATAATCTGCACTTAGGATTTGCAAGAGAGATGCAAGTTTCATTTTCAATCCATTCCATTTCAGCTCTACAACATTTTCTACATAAGTTTCTTTGATGGAACAGATGAAAAAAATAAATTTTGAAAGAGGTACAATTATGATTTGTGATCAATTTAAATATGGGAGACTAAAGAGTTGATCAATCTGAATTCCTTCAAAAAAGAACTCAACATAAAAATTACAAGATTGTAGATTCTCGTTCACAAGTAGAGCTACAATACTTGCAGGTGATCTGTAATTTTAACAGTTGCAGAAAAGAAGCCTGAAAAGCAAAATTCAGGGTTAAATGACATTCAAACCCATACTTTATCAATACTAACCATCAAAAGCCTGAATTTTCTCAGGCTTTTTATATGCAGTTGCTTACATTGCAGCTCACTTCCAAGGATAAATTGCTTGCAGGCCAAATAAATCATAGTTGGAACTGTGCTTACATACTAGGCAATATGAATGGTCAGCCTAGTGATATCCTTGTCCATGCTGTAATATTTGCAAGATGTTTGTTACCATAAAGGCTCAGATAAAGTGGTCAGCTCAAAATAGTTATCAGTGATGTGCAGATTTAAGGATCCTAGCCAAGCATAAAATTTGGCTTATGTACCATGTAATCTGCCATTTTTATTTAATTTGGCATCACCCCTGCTTTGTTGTTTGTTAGTTTGTTTTGCTTGCAGTAACCTTCTAAATCTTCATGAATCCTTGCAGACATACATTGTATCTCAGTTACAACTGAAATTTATTATTGCCTAATTTTGATTCAGTATTTCTGAATCATTGATTTGCATAGATTATTGCTGGGAAAATTGTTGTTGTTCCTACAAATCCACAAAACAGGCATGGTTGACTAGGATCCTTTAATATAATACAAAAGAAAACTTGTAAATTATACCAGGAAAAACCAGAAAGGTAGTTGAACAGCAATTGCAGCAGCACTGGTATAAAACTGAAGTTCTGGTGGACTGAAAGAACAAATGAAACCTCATTAATAGAGTGAAAAATTAAACAAATGGACATGGTTGGACCTACAGTTTTAAGACCTTGTAGCTAAATATCTTTCTGACCTTTCCAGGCAAATTGTCACACCATGAGAATCACAACAAAGGTGTCCCAGGTAAAATTTTAGCAACACCCAGAGCTCAAAAACTGGAATGGTTTCCAAGAAGTGATGTTGTGGAAGCTTTTACATCACTGAAAGGGAGGCATCTGGACACTCTAATGCCACATACAGCACAGTGACCCATACGTCAATAACCCACTCCTTTGCACAAGACTAGAAAGCTCAGATTACCCTTAACTGTGCTCAAATTATCCATCAATTTTCTACAGAAATAAAAGCTATCACCTTGGAATGGGGGAGGAAGCTTGATGTTAATAATTTAAGATCAATCCGAGAAAAAAAGGAAAGAATCCAGGAACAGCAGTAATCAAATGCAGTGGCAGATCAAGAAGGTCCAGACCCCCACGCCAAGAATTCTTGCAATAATAGGATTGCTTATTACTACTAAACTGAGTGATTTTCTTCATGCAATTGTGAGTGAAGGAGGGGGTGGGGAGGTAAACAACTCCTGAACACTTTCATTGATGGAAAGAATAAGTCATTTGACACTTTGGCTTACCTGTAGGGATGATCACTACTTAGAAGCTTCTTTGAAAACACATTCTGAAAACTATCGAGTAAATGAGAAAAACAATTATTTTAACTTATTAACTGGAAAAAATTACAAAATTTCAGAATTCTTAATATTCACCAAATAATATCTAAATTCACAATAATCATCATAATCTTTTTAAAAGGCTTCTTGAGCTGAAACCTTGTAAAAGTTAAATCACCTCCAGCTTGTGGCTATCACATATATACTAAGTAATAAAACTTTTTTTTCTTCAAAAAAATTAACCCTTTAAGTCCCACTGGAGTGACCTAGACAGAATTTCTCCCTACACTATCAGTACAATATTAAGCAGACAAGTAGTGAGAATAAAGACAAATATCAATTAGGGGATTATTGGTTGATCCAATTCCAAATTCTCCTAACTAACATCATATGAATTGTATGGCACACAGTAAGGAGAATTACTAATGATATCTTGGGAGTTAAGGTGTTAAACAGTTTAAAGTTTGATGCATAAACAAGAAGTGGGAAGGAAGGAGCTGAGCACTACATCACAGTAAAAAAAAATGTTTGAGATCAAAATTTGTTACTGTCAAAAGTGTGCAATATTCACACAACAAAAAAACACCCTAAAAAGGAATTACATCTCTTCACATAGTTTAAAAAAGTCTAGTTCATGCTAACACCAATCCATAACATTATTCAACTCTCCAACTCACCAATCCATGACATTATTTAGAAGAGCAGATATAAATCCAACCATGTTGAAGCTGAGCTCTGAAGCAGTACAAAGTGACAGACCAGCCATGATTGGAAGAAGAGACAGATTCACAAATACACTTGATTTGTCACCTATAAAAACAAACAATACAAAAAAATGAAAAAGAAGTTTCTTTTTATATCCAGATTTCTGGAGTTTTTTGGGTAAGTGAGACATCCATTCACATACTTGAAGAAGCTTGTTACTTAAGGGAACATGGTTATTAATAAGGGTAATTGGTCTTCTCAAAATATGCCATTTTCCAGTAAAAATTTGCCACCAAAAGTCAAGAGTGTACAAGTTTAAAGACCTCTAAAAGGTCCCTTGCCAGCCTATATTACTGGTGTGAATCTGGAGGGTGCATGCATAATACTGTAAAATTCTAAAAAATAAGCCCCGGGGCTTATATTTTTCAAAGGAACTTTTTGAGGGGCTTATTTTTGGAAGGGGCTTATATATTCAGAGGGGCTTATTATAGGAGGGAAATTTGAATTTCAAAATTGACTGGGCTTATAATTGGAGGGAAATTTGTGCCAAAATTGTTTGAATATGCAACTGGTAATATTAGGATTTTGGCTAGAAATTCATCACAAATTAATCACACTGAAAATGTCAAGTTCAAACACAATGGCAATAAACTTTATTAGAGCAGAAGTACAGTAAAAATGGTAACATAGCTCAGGCTCAAAGTTCATGTTAACTATGAAAGCTCATATCATTCAAGGAGCAATCGAGGGAGTTTGGGTTCAGGGTGGTGGGATTGCACTTCCTTGCAAATACTTTGTCTATGGACCAAAGGAATTCAAAGCATGAGTGAAGAGTAAACCTTGTAAAAGACAATAAACTTCAACACTTGTTGACCACATTGCTTCAGTGCATGGAATAATTCTTTTATGACTAAAAAAGACTTCCTGATAGTGGTGATTATGTTTAGTTTGCTTTGGTTTGTATTAATGAGGATAATTTCCAAGTACAAGCCCCCAGGGGTTTGTATTTGGAGGCTTGTTATAGGAGGTATTTTTGTGTTTCAGATTTGGGAGGCTTCTATATGAAGGGGCTTATACATGGAGGGACTTATTTTCGGAATTTTATGATATCTCTTTATGAAATTATTGACTGTCATCTTCAATTTTAATGCAAGGGAAGGCTGGAAAGGAGAGAAATATCCCTCAAGAAGGAAGATGATAAGCAAGAGGAAGTAAGGGGAGTCTTTTGAATCACAAATTTTATTTTTCATACTTACCTAACATAAGCCAAGCTATAATTGCTGTGAAAATTGGAGCTGAAGATTTTATGGTTTCAGAGAAAGAAACAGCTACATACTTCAGAGTAATGAGAGAACACACTATGGTAGCAAACCTATAAAAGGGGAAAAAAGACAGACAGGCTTTATTACTTTTCATCTGATACTCCCTTGATCTGGAGTTAGGATTCGATCACAAGCAAAACATTTAACCCTTTACTCCAAGATCTCATTAGTAATTCTCCTCACTGTTAATTTGTATAATTTGGTATTGGATCAATGAATAATTGCAACAAAAATGTTTACCCGGTCTCTATTCAGCCCCTGTGTAAAAAAGTTAATTTTGGACTCTGCCTGTCTAATTTGCTTCAATATAATGAAGAAAAAACTGAGTTGTGAACATTTCTGATCAATTTTGTTTTTAAAAGAAAGTCTGAAAAAACTGAACAGGATAAACCATTTGCCCTCAATTACAAAACATTCTAAACAGAATGACAAATGCCACCCAGTATTCTGACCAGAATTTTGCATTTTCCAGATCACCTTTTGGAAACTCTGATAAAATGAATTTCATGCTAACGTGATTTCAGCCCATTTTGACCTATGATTTGTTGTTTATCAATTATACCAGTAATAATCTACTTGGAACATAAAAGTAATGAATAATAATTTCACCTCATCCAACCTAAAATTGCCATGTTACGAAAAAAATGAAATTTAGGTCCATCTTGGTGATGGCCTGAAGTCCGATGGAACAAGCAGCAGGGTAGATACATCTTGACTGCTCCAAATAGCACAGAACACACCATTTGGGTCTCACCAAGTAGGCTGGCATCACCATCTAATGTTGACAAGATGTACTTGTTTGATATAATTGAACCGAAACTAAAGAGGTACCAAAGAGACATCATTACAGTTTGTCGCACAAATGTCTCCTTTAACTCAAATGTAAATGTTCTCTGTTGTCTTGGTGATGAAGGAGAGTGCGAAACACCATCATGAATTTTCTTTGTTTGTCCAATTATTGGAGCCATGTTGGAGCCAGCTTGAGTCAGATGAGAGACCATCTAACAGATTAAAGTTCTTTCCGATGAAAATGAACCAAAAGATCTAGATATCTGCATGATGCTCTCAAACCCTCCACATGCAGCTTTGGTCTTCCAGAGTGCTTCCATCCAGAGCCAAGATTTTTCAACAAAAAGTCATAGCTGTAACAAAAGGCAAATATTACTCTATGCATGGTTGGGAGTTTACAGCCAATAGGAACTTGGGCAAAAAACATTTACTCTGTGTACATTGATTTAAAAAATGCCATTCTTAGAGTGCCCTAGTAGAGGGTAGCAAGAGGAGGTCCTAATCCCATTTTAAATTGAAATTTTAGAAAAATTCAAGCATCACATGTTCATGTACTGTAAACAGTATTTCACCCATCAAGAATTTAAAGAGGAAAACTTCAAATCTCACCTTACCTTGCCTTTCTGTAAAATTTACAGGTCACATATTAATTTTGGGCGTAATCACACGTCCCGTTTAAACCATTTGCCACCCTCTAGTGATGACCTCTAACAGACAACTAACAGCTAAGAAAATAGTTCACCAACATTTTTAAAAATTTACCCAAAGGGCTTGTTCATGGAAAAATGTAGAGATGATGCTAGGCAAATGTTTTGATTACAAGAGAAAACGGTACATAGACCCCCTACATTATTCATGAAAGGTGATATTTACGGAGACTACACATTTGAAGGGGGCAGGAACAATCATCACTTCCCTAATTGCCGAAAAAAAGATCAAACTCCAGGATTTTTCGCTAGGCATTGATTGCAACAGAATGAACATTTTTCTTCAGCTCAAAATGTTTACAGAAATTGAAAAACTTGTGAAGTGGTTGTCCCAGCAATGAGAATCTCATTTTTCTATGAATTATTAAGTTAACGTACAAAGAGCTGGCGATCAAAGGGAGTAAGAAATTGCTTGACAATGGAGCTTTTCAAATTTTTAAACGATTTTTACAAGTTGCAGTTATGAAATCCGCCGTTAGCACGAAACCCGATCCTATATATTTTGTGTTATGGTCTTTAGATGTTCGCTGGAACAATGAACAACTCGCCCGCACGCAGCTGCCAGTATCCTAATAAAGTCAACACAGCCGCGAGAATATTGCAGACGCTGTGTGAGGAACAGTAGATTGTCGTTATGTAGTCATAAAATGTTCCCTTACCGATATCTCTAAAGTGATCTTCGCTTTTTTTGTCAGCAAAATATAACAATATAGCATTGAGTTTGATCACGAGTGCACCCGCGAAATCTCACCTAACCACTTTTTCTCCGATTAGTCAGCAGAATCTCTCCAAGCCAATACTACGTCAAATACCGGAAATGAACTGTAACTGTCCGCCGCACTTGCGCAGTAATCATCACCAGAACGATGAAAACACGTTGCAGTGGATTGCCCGGAGAGTGCGAATGGGCGTCTGGCGTCTGGCGAAAGTGCTCTTTAATTCTTCATTTCTCTGGAGATGAAAACACGAACGATAACTTGACGATTTGATCTGGTTACTTGAAAAAGGAGCGTAGTTTGAAGCCAAGAACAAATTTTACGTGTTTCAAGGTAAATTCGAGATTTGAAAACTCAGCGCGGAGGCGAGGCTACAATAATTGACACATATTCTTGCAAAGAAGTTTTGGGAATTCAACATAAGGAACACACAGCAGTCTTGGTCCTCTGCGGAAGAGGAGAGGAATAGTTTCCGCTGAAATCAAGGATATCTCCTTTTGGATGTTGTTCTGAGGCTCATGAATAGTGGTCGAATTCTATTTGTGATGCGAGTGTGTTGATGTGGGATGTAAAGGCTGTAACCCTCTTACTTCATTAATATTTCATAAGCAAACAGCTTTGCTGCAAACACAGTACACATGGCTTCGAAATCAAAAGAGCAGCAAAGTCCAGTGAAGCGGAAATTTACAAGCCCCGTTGGAAATCAGAAATACGTAACGAAGGGAATTTCTCCGCGTTTTAAAGCAAATTTGAAAGATTTTCGCTCGTTTGGTCCCGTGAAGCAGAACAAACAGAAAGGAGATCTGGGACCTAATCATGGAAAAGCTTGGAGGAAGACTCATAAGAGCCAGGCTGTGAAATTTCATTTTGGAGGGAACAGTGCAGATCCACTGAACTTAAACAGTTTAATAGATCGAGATCCATCAGCTGTCACCCCACAAGCCTCCCCAATGTCAGTTCACAGTGCATCCCCAGTTGAAGTTTTAGAACCACGTGATAAGACAGACCCTCTCAATTTAAAACGTTGTCTGCCAGAACCTGAAAACAATGTGTCTCATGTGACACCAAAAAAGCGCAAGAAAAAGAAGCGAGGACATAATCATCAAGACAGGGAAAATGAAATTGGGTCAAAAGAGCAGTCAGGTGTCATCAGCCAGCTGAAGAAGCAGAAAAAAATTCTTGTAAAAACTGACTTTTCTTGTGATAAAATTGAGGATAAATTAGGCAAAAGCTGCACTGACCAGTGCAGTGTTCAGTCAACACAAACCAATGATCTGTCAAAAGAGGAAGACTTGAATCCATCCCCCGAAAAAGCTGGCTACATCAAAAAGCAGACTGCAGAAGCAGTTGATAACAAAGATGCAAATGTCATTGAAGTGGAGCAGTCTCCTTTAGTGACAAAACCCAAAATTGCTCCTGGAAAATCTAAAGAAATAGGAAAACCTCATGCATCACACAAAGGCAAAGACTCTAAGAAAGATAAACAAAGCTTATCAAAGAGACGTGAAAGAAAGGAAAAACTTTTTATTTATGGTAACTATAACAGGTATTATGGTTACAGAAACCCAAACTCCAGCCAAGATTTAAGACTAAAATGCTTTAAAAAAGAATGGTTTGAGGGGAAGGATGTTTTAGACTTGGGTTGTAATGTGGGTCATGTGACATTAACAATTGCACGGGACTTCAACCCACGTGTTATCCTAGGAATGGACATAGATACTGCCCTGATCAAAGCAGCAAGGAACAATTTACGATATTATGTGCAGAATCAAGTGTCTGTTCCTGGGACATCAAGACAAGGAACAAGTTTTCCAGTGTCATTTTCTGTCACCAGTGGACCTCTGGCTGCACCTGTAGTTCAGGGCAGTGAAGAAAATCTGTCATTTCCACATAATGTCCTATTCAAACAGGTAATAATATAATTAAAGTAATCATAAGTCCCAATGCTTCTCTGAAAATATTGAAGGACTGTTGGAAAAAATAGAGTAGAGTAAAAGTTGAAGAATTCATCCTTTATGTATGATTTTTAAAAAATTGGGGGCTTGTCAAGAACACAACAACAAGAGCTCTCAGTTAAAAAGGCATAACCAGCATTACAAGGTTAACTTTGAATAGTTTGTGCAGATATCAGTTCTTTCAATTTTTGCGCTTGTGAAGCGTTGTGATGATTAACAAAAGCTGAAGAGTACAGATGTTGCTGTGTTAATCTGACATGACAGAACCCTTGGACTTATTTGTTTTCCTTTTTCAGAAACATGCGAGTCAAAAAGTTACTGAAATTTTCTTTTGAAATTTGTAGGAAAACTACGTTCCTTGCAGTAATGAGGTACTTTCCAAACAAAAGCCAATGTATGATATGATTTTGTGTTTGAGTTTGACAAAGTGGATCCATTTGAACTGGGGAGATGAGGGACTCAAACTCATGTTTAAAAGAATATTCCTCAATCTACGTCCTGGTGGAAGACTTGTCCTTGAGCCTCAGCCATTTTCCTCTTACAAAAAGAAGAAAAATTTGACAGTAAGTGATTATTTCAAGGTTGTAGCTAAAGAAATTAAGCTTTTGGTTGAAATTTCCAGTGAGGCAGCCGAAAATTTGAATGATTGTGTGTGTGTAACCCTAGAGGTACATTTTGTGCTTAACCAAGCAAATGCTCGCCAAAAATCAAAGCAGCAATCACTGCTTTTCATCTGCCAAATCTCACCAGCAACCAGGGCTTAGAAAGAAACCTGTTATTTACCATCAGGTACTAGCTTTTTCCTGTATAGGCTCTGAATGCAATAGTATAGGTCCCCAGTTTAAAACTTCATTTCTTCTGTATCACTCAAGGTGAAAGCAATCTCAACTCAGTATTATTAGCAACTTCTACAACAGTATTGCTTTAAGAAACTAATTTCATTCTTGCATTTTTTTTTCCTTATAGAGAAATTTGATTTAATTTTAACATCAATGAAGACATTTTTGTAGAAAATAAGCCTCAAACTAACCATCCAGATCCACCCTCAAGTCTTTTCTTTAAGTTTTTGTTATGTTTTTAATATTAATTTAATATTTTTACATAGTCATGATTAGGATATAAACCATTGCATCTTATTTATCATTTACTATCCACAACATTTTTTCAGGAAAAAATCCGTGCAAATTATGATGCCATTCTCTTTCGCCCTGAACACTTTATTGACTACCTTCTATCAGACATGGTGGGATTTGCTACTTTTGAAGTTCTTGAGATTCCACAGCACAAAGCTTCTGGTGAGTAGTATCTAAGTGCACAGTTGTTCATACAGGGTTTTTGTGAAATAGCATTTTGTGAATGCTTTGAAAAGAATTTTCCTGGGAACTTAGTAGCCTAGTGGTTAGCCAGGGGCAAATCCAGGAATTTTTAAATTTTTCATTCAAAAAAGATAAATTTTTGAATTCTATTGCCTAAATAAGTTAAGGAATTAAGTCAAATGTTAGATACTTCATAATTAGTGGTAAAATGATATGCTTCCATCGCAAGAATTTTTTAGCAAACAAGTATCAAACTTTACCCCTAAGCCTGATGGGTGGAGGGAGGGGGGGGGAAGGGTTTGGCTTCCTCTGGACCCTTCCCCCTGGATCTGCCACTGTTAGTAGGCATGTGAGATATACACTTTATGCTCAATATGCTGGCATAAACAAACAAAACAAACTTTATTGGTATTTTTGATTTGTTCTTGAGCAAGACACCTTTATGTCTTGAGGCTTCCCATTGCCCAGAGGTGAAAACTGGTACCAGTACCAGCAAGGTGTTAGGAAAATCCTCAGAAAAAAACAGGGATAATTTGTGATGGATTAATAGTCCATTGGAAGGGGGCTCTGACACTGTTCTTTGGCTGAATGCAATAAAACATGTTGCATGTTTCTTATCTTTTCTTAGGGTTCCAGAGGCCTCTGTATCTTCTTACAAAAGCTGCAGATAAGCAAGGGGAACCTTCACAAGAAATGTATTAGGATTCAATAAATATGTCATCCATATTATACTAGAATAGTGTGTGGAAGTCACAAAATGTAGTTGTCTTGCATATTCCTTAGGTCGATGGAATTAGTGACATTCTTTTTACTAACCTCATATACAGCCACAAACTTGAAAAGTAGAGAATAAAACTTTCTTTTCATTAATGCAATAGATTGTTGATATATATCTAAGAGTGTGTTTGAAAATTGTGGATTTTTTTGTTTGTTTTTTCTTGCTTCTAAGTTAAAATTTTTGGAAATAAAATTAGTTTTAAAACCTAAACTTTCCACAATAACTGTGATGGTTTATTCTCTTCATCAGGTAAAACCCTTTACATAAATGAAAAGCACTGCTGAGAAATATTTTAGCTGAAAAAACGTGCATAAAGCATGCAAAAAATTTGAATGTAAGTGCATATAAGTGTAACCAATGTGTCTCTAAATTGCACATATACACACATAAGCATATATAAATCTGTCTCATTAGTGTGTTTTAGCTAACTTTGTTTTTCCATTGTTGACAGGTAATTTTTCTATAGCATTAACTAGTTGCACTAAAATACTACATGGCTAAAAACTACGTATAGACTTGTTTGTCTCAATGTCTGCTTAAGCTGACTTTCCTAATATGCTGTTACTTATGTAGGCAACTTCATAAAGACCTAACCACTTTTCTTGTGATACTGATGGCTCAGTATGGCTTACACTTGTAACACAGGTCTTCTCTCCTCTGCTTTAACCACCGTGCACCTCAGTTGTAGTTTTGTTCCAACTAAGTCATTTTGGTTTTTTTTTTCAAATTTAAGGGAATGGCCAAGCTATCACTCAGATTACACATATGCATGGGGGAAAGCTCAGCAAAAGGGTCACTCCCTCTTGTTTTTGTTGTTGGTGCTTCTTTTTTTTTTTTTTTTTTTTTTGGGGGGGGGGGAGGTTTTAGAGTCCTGCATCTGAGAAAGTGTGACCTATGCCCCCTCATACCTATATATACCTATTTTTTACAACAACTGATCATGTATTTAAGTGAAGTTGTTTCAGTCATTTACACCATTACATTAGTATGCAAATTCTCATACTGTTTTCTGTACATTTCTTGT